GAGAGAGGGAGGGAGAGAGAGAGAGAGAGAGAGAGAGAGAGAGAGAGAGAGAGAGAGAGAGAGAGAGAGAGAGAGAGAGAGAGAGAGAGAGAGAGCAGGGAAGAGAGAGAGGGATGAATGAGGATCTAGGGCAGGGGGCGTGGGAGAGAAAATACAGATCAAGGGCAAGGGACAAGGACAAGGAAAAGAGAGAGGAAAAAAGAAAAGAGAGAAAGGATATGAGAGAAAATTATCATCACAGTTATCGACCGAACTGGTGCTACTTGTGCTAGTAATGAAGATGTTCTATTAGAACCTCATCAGATAATCGCAGAGGATCTATACCATCGTCACTGTTATCACTATTACCATCATCATTATCACCATCCTTATCATCACCATCACCATCGCCATACTTCTAAACACTTTAATTGTCTCCACTATTACCAACAATTAACAACAATGACAGCAGTATTGATACTGATCATCGTAAAAATCATTATCATTAAAGAAAAAGGACGCAAGTGTCAACATATCAGTATCAACATAATTACCCTCTTTATAGCAATCCTTATTATTAGGAAAATACGACGCATGTGCCTCAGTAGAGGAAGGCAGGTTAGCTGCCCTGTTGCGTAGAGAACGTGCTTTGTGAAGGTGGTAAAATATGGCTTCTGCTCTTCCTTTATTTGCAAACTCGGACACGCAGTGGGCGGAGGTTGTACGCCCACGCCTGGGTTGCGTGCTTCTTTTGTTCTAGGTCAATATAGGTAGGAGTTGTGTTTTCCTTTTATTTTTTTTATTTTTGGGCCCGGGGTCTCTGGGTTAGGGTTACGCTCTTTTGTTGTTTGTTTGTTTTTTTGCGATTGGGGTCGGTTGGATTGGGTTATATGCCTTTTTTTTGGGGGGTGGGGGGTAGGATCTGTAGGATGGATTTGTCCTTTATTATTGATATATATATATATATATATATATATATATATATACATACATATATATATATATATACATATATATATATATATATATATATATATATATATATATATATATATATATATATATATTTTTTTTTTTTTTTTTTTTTTTTTTTTTTTTTTTTTTTTTTTTTTTTTTTTTTCTGTAGGCCTGGCGTCTCTAGGTCAATTTTTTGGATGTTTGTTTTTTCAAGAATGGGATCACGTGGATTGGGTTAAATAAGTCTTTTGTTTTAGAGCAGTGGTTCTAGGTTCATGTTGTGTGCGTCTTTTGTTTTAGATCTGGTGTCTCTAAGCTAGAGTTGCGTTCTTTTTATTTTATGCTTCTTGTCTCTAAGCTAAGGTTGCGTTATTTTATCTTTATCTATGTCTCTATCTATCGTTATTTATTTTAGTGCTGGGGTTGTGTGCTTATGTGTCAAACAGGAGTTCAAGGTTCACGTTATGCTTATCTTTCGCTCTAAATCTGCCACATTTAAGTTCTCAATGCGTGCCTCTTTTGTTTTATACCTGTTATCTCTAAGTTCCTGCTATGTGTTTCTCTCGCTTATTAAAGCAGAAGGAATTTGTATGCTGCTGTTGCGTTTCATTTTATTTTGGACTCGGGGTCTCTAGGTCGCGGGTTGAGCACTTCGTCGATTTGAGAAGTGCGGTTTCTAAGGTCGTTTAATGGTTTTTATTTATTTATTTATTTATTTATTTTTTATTCGAGGGGTATTTTGTGTTCTTTTTTTTGTTTTTGAATCTTAGAGTTTTAGAGCTTAGAGATTTTTTTAGGGTTAGTACTTGGTACCGAATTTCCTTTTTGGTTTGTATGTTATATATTATATGTTATATTGGTTTGTATATTATATAAGATATCTGTATATTTATTTATTTCGTTTGTTTATTAATAAGTCTATTTATTTTCTTATCCTTACTTGTGGTTAATTCATTGTTTCTATCTTTGTGATCTATTGTTATCATTATCATCATCATTATTATTATTATTATTATTATTATTATTATTATTATTATTGTTGTTGTTGTTGTTACTAACATCATTATTATTATCAATGTCACTATTACTATCATCAGTATTATTGATATTTCCAATAAGTCTTTGGTGTTTATCAGTTACTGATTCTAAATTGGCAATTACTATTCTATAATAACTATATAATAATTAAATTTTGGTGCTTAGTGTTCTGATATATATATATATATATATATATATATATATATATATATATATATATATATATATATATATATATATATGTATATATATATATATATATATATATATATATATATATATATATATATATATGTATATATATATATATATATATGTGTGTGTGTGTGTGTGTGTGTGTATATATATAAATATAATTTTTTTCATCGGTACTTTTTAGTTCAGTTTATAAACTCTCTGAATTAAACTTTTTTCGCATTTATTATCGTTTTGGTCACATTTATAGCATCGTTTTCACGCAAATAGATCTCTAGGGTTTCTATAGGATTTTGTCTGATTTAATAATCCATGTTTATGTGTGTGCGTG